GGAAAGGATGCCACCCCCAATCTCCGGCATGCACACCTCCTCATCGCTCCCGAAAGTTAGTAAGGCCCTTGGAAGTAATCTGTCTGGAGAAGCTGGCTTGATGGGTACTTCCTAACCACTGGGTCTCTTCTGAACCACCCTCTATGAAAGCAAATGATCTTTCTTCTTCTCCTGGACTATCTACCCCAGGTAAATCATAATGGTAGCACTGCTTTCTGGAATACAGAGAACACCATTTGAAGACAAACTTGCTGCTCTGCCTGTTTTCTTCCCTGAGGCCTTCAGAATTAAATTTTCTGTTCTAACTGCTGGGTCAGATCAAGCATATTCTAGACATACCGATCTACTTTAGGTCACTATTTTGATATTTTGTATTCTCAAGAAAGATGGAGACCTTGAGGACAACCTCAGGGGATTAGGATTTTGTGGAAGGGGTTGTCTGGCAGATGGCCAGTAGGAGGCGGTGTCAACCGCCTCTTCTTTTACATTGAGGGGATGGGCCCTGGTACCTGCTGCACAATGGAGGCAAGCTAGCATCCACACATGCTGAAGCGTGCCTGTGATAATACAAGTGGCTTTAGGACACAACAGAATCTCATAAGGATGGAACCACCAGGACCACCGCAGCTTCAGCCGTTCTGAAGGCTCCTCCTCTGAAGGGACAGCTACTCACGGACTTGTGCGTGTCTGAAGAGGTACCTTTGCACACATCAGTCTGGACACTGGCTCCTGAGGTGAGCCTCACAGGTCCTGCAGTGTATCCTCTCTGCCCTGCCCACTCCCCTGCCCTTGCACTGGGAACTCTTTAAAGTTCTTCTCTGAGTGTATGTGTGTGTGTGTTTGCACATCCTACATAGTCCTTTAATTCCATTTCCTCATCTTATGCTCTGAAGCAGAGATTCTGAAGAGCCCATTTTATTCAAGACCAATTATTCAACACAGTCTAGACAGAGGCCCTTTTAGTAAGTCTCCCTTTACTGTTTCTAATACATAAGCTGTTCTAAGCTTTGTAAGCACCACGAGTGTCCAGAGTTTTCTACAGATGCAAGGCTCCCTTACAGGAGAAATTTAGGTTATCATGTGGCCACATGGGCAGACTTCTTTATGGAAAAGAGGGCTGTCTCTTCATCTGGTAGAAATGAGCACAAGACTTTTGCAATTGTGCGACAGAACAGTAATTATCTGAGTCACTCGCTCTGAAGATCTGCCCACCTCAATATTTAAACCTCTGTTTTTAATCCATCATGTGCCTATGAAATTGAGTATATGCATTCTCTGGTCCATGCACATACATGTGTAAATATATCAATTCACGGTTTTACAACGACTAGCAATGGCACAATGGGCGTCTCCTCGCACATATATGCACTAGACAGGAACTCTGGCAGATGAGGACGGCACATCGCTCTACCGCCACGTGCTCTGACTTCACATATTGTGAATCACCCCAGAATCATCGCCAGCATGCTCTTCTCTTCAGTGAAACAGAAAGAACAGTGTAGATGAGGGTATTTTTATAAAATTGTTACATATGTGTTCAATATACACGTATTATGTTTATTATTGTTCAAGATTGTTTCTTAAAATGAGTTATGCTAAGAAATTGAAGGAAAATTGTATTCCATAATTACAGAGTATGCATATTTTCAACCTGATTTGCTAAAAAGCCAATTGAACAATTTTATGCTTCTATCATGATGTCATTAATTTTTTTTTTTTTTCAGTTTCAGTATTTGGTAGTCTGATTCTTTTTTTCTGGAATATTTTTTGGTGCTACTTGTCTGTTTTGATCAAGATTACAAATTTCATAATTTTGAAATCTGGGAAGTCTGGTTATTACTATCTTTTTGGTTGTTTGTTCATTTTTTGTTTGTTTGTTTTGTTCTCAACACAGGATTTCTCTGTGTAGCCTTGGCTGTCCAGGATTTACTTTGTAGACCAGGCTGGCCTCAAACTCACACCTGCCTCTGCCTCCTGGAAAGCTGGGAACATAGGCACTACTGAGACGACCTCTCTTTGTTTTTTTTAATAAGGATCTTAACCTTTTGTTATCTTTACTTTCCCATGCAGATTCTGACATTATTTCAGGTCTATGTAAAAAACTTTTTTTAATTAACATTGCCACTGACTATAAACATCTCTGATAATATTGCCTGAAAAACAAATGGCTTCACCACTATGAAGCACAGTTGTAAAAAGCAGATCTCTGCCTCACTTCCATATTTTAAATTCTGTGATTGATTGGCTGAAGCTCAATTGCATCAAGAAGCATAGCTGCAAGGGAGCCCAGGCAGTGTACATTTCTAGGCTTAAAGCTTCTGCAATGCAAGGAGAACGGTGTATTTCAAATCAGGTTACGACTTATTACTGGATCATGAGATTGACCTATGTCATAAATGACAATTAAAAATAAAACAAAACTTTAAAATTATATTTTATGAAAGGTACACACATTTATTCCATATTTTATGTACATTCATATACCTTTAAGGAGACTATATGAAAGAATTTCTTGGGCTGGAAAAACAGCTGTGTATAAAGTGCCTGCTATCAAGTATGGAGGACCCGAATCAGGATCCCAAGCGTCCATGTAGCATCTGTACCCCAGTGCTCAGGGATGGAAACAGTTGGGTCCTGGAGCCTCACTGGCCGGCCAGTCTGGCCAGAATGGTGAGTTCCAGATTCGGTGGGACTCTGTCTCAAAACGTTATGTGGAGAAGACGGAAGATTCTCAGCATCAATCTCTGGTCTTCGCACACAGCACCCAGGTGTGTATGTACATGGACACATGTACCGTGGTGTGTGATGTGTGTGGAAGTGTGCCCACCACACTTGTGGTGGAGATCAGGAGACAACTTTGTGGCGTCAGCTCTTTTTCACTCTTATGTGGATTCTGGGGCTCAAACTAAGGAGGCACCAGGCTTGTACGGCAAGTGCCTTTATACCCACTGAGCCATCCTGTTGGCCCCATAGCGGTTTTGTTGTTGGGTTTGTTTTTGTTTGGTTTGTTGTTTGATTGAGACAGAGTTTCTCTGTGTAACAGCCTTGCTGTCCTGGACTCCCTTTGTAGACCAGGTCCCATAGCAGTTTTTATGTGGATCAGGAAAACCTGAAGAATGAGGTACCAGAGAGGCAGATGCTATGTGCCACTCACCGTATCAAGTACAATTTCCCTCATTTTGCTAAGGAAGCTTTTGTGTGGGTCCTAGGACAAACTTTAGGAACCAGTTCTCTGCTTCTATTATGTGGGTCCCAGGCACTGATGAGGTTCAGGCTGAGCCATCTCGCTAGTGTTCCCTGCATTCTTAGTCTGTTGACAGCTTTAATTTGGAATGTGTATTGAATGCTGTGCCCACTGAAGTGGCCACGAGGAGTCTTTCTCCTCTGATGTACCGCTTCATGCATTTTCCACAGTGTGTCATCTTTGTATTCTCCTTTAACGCTGTTCTCCTGGGGGTCTTTTAAGGCCCTGATTTGTTTGTTATCCATCTAATACAGCACTCGTGATTTATAGCAGGTCCTGTATTTGTCAAAGTACTTACACTGTACTTACAGTGCACTCTGTATGAACAAAAGGCCTGTGTTCTGTGGCCCTTTATTAAACTCACAAAAGGCAGCCACTAATACCCAGTTTTATTTTGTTAAGAAAATCCTCACGTTTCTGATACCGTTGCAACTTAAGGACCAATAATAAAATATCTGTAGGCAGAAGTCTTTCTGAAAAGTGGGATTTCAGTTCCAATGTGTTAAGTTCCAGTTACCTGAGCTTGTATGTGCTAAGAATATAAACGATATACTAAACTGAAGTGTGCATGCTCAGGCCTCAGTCACTCGGGCAGTGCTCTGCAAACCTTATTCTTCTTGTATCTGGCTATATGTGCTCCTTTGAGAACTGAAGAACATCTCCCTTGCTTCAGAGCAGCTAGAAGAAAAGCGCCCACCCTCCTGGGGCTGTGGTTTAAATGCAGCACCCAAACTGAAGCACAGTGTCTCTGAATGGATCATGCAGTATGAAGACTGCATGAAGCCATTAGCCCTCTGGGCCTGAAATCTGGAGTTTTTCTACTTGGCCTATACTTTCTTTTTGTCACCTTTGCGGAAAAACAAAATCTTCATTTTGATGTTTCCCCCCCCAAATTTATAGTGTCATTATATCGTTACATGTGTGTATCACACACACACACACACACACACACACACACACACAAGTCTTCAGCAACGTGAACTTACCTTTCACTTCTGGGCGGCAGCCAGTAGCAATAGCGATAGCCTATGATGTTTTGGGAACCTTTTGGGCAATTCTGACCAACTCAAAAGAGGGATTCTCAGCCTGGCGTTTGGCTTCAAGTTAGTCTATGGCTCTTGGTGGAAGCATTGTCAACTCAGATAGGAAATTTTTATTGAAACTCTGTATGTATATTTATACACTGACTTATATGCATTATAGGTATTTTTGAGTAGATAGTTTATAGTGTAATTCCCTATGACTTTTCAGATGTCCTTACTGTTATTTTAAAGATGCTTTTAATGGACTATCAATACAAACAAAATATGCTACCTACCAAGTAAGATTTCTGTGGCCCTAATATTCACTAACAGCTACCATGGGGAATAAAATCCATCTTTACAAAGGCAGTGGAAATAAGTATTAAACTATGCTAGAGGACTATACAGGGATAAGAAAAATTTAATAATATATCCAACAAGAGCAGCCAACAGTCAAGCCAACCTTATTACACAACACATAATTCAATCTAGGGTTTCTCCTTCTCTTAGCTGGGGAAAAACCAAACCCATGCCAGAATTACCTGGACCTTCACTTCCTTAGCTAGAGACAGCAGGGATCTCGACAGCGCCAGGTATCGGAAAGGTCTGCGTGGGAAGCAAGGCCACGGCACTGCTTCCCCTGTGGCTAGACTGATGGATACGCTTCTAACTTCTAATATCCAATTTTCTATAATGGGTTATATTAGGAGGGATCGAACTGATCAAAATTATATATATTAATTTACTGCTTTATTTTAAACACTTTATTTGACAAGAATCAGTAGTTTCTGGAAACCCTTTCTTCCTTTCCCAAGTAGAGCTGACCTCTACCAGAGGAGAGAGCAGCAGGACTTCGTAGTTTGGGGTGTGGGCACTCTTTGCTGGGATTTGCAGATATGATGCTCCAAGGAGTTCCATAATCTTTCTGACAGCTACACACAGGATCTCCTTTGGGTCTTCATTGCATCTTGGCCAGTGCTCTCTACAGTGGTAGATTATGGCTCTCCCATAATCAAGGACACGAAGGAAAAAAATGATTTTATAAAGAAACAGATGGGCACAGTGTAAGCCAAGACAGCACGGAGGAGACCAGGAACCATGTGGAAGCAACAGGACGCAGGCCTCCACAAGTTCCAGGTGTATCCACAGAGCACCTTCATTCACATCCATGTGCTTTCTATTCCAGAGAGATTAGCATGAACAGAACTCCTAAACACAGTAATTTCCCTGACTGGGACAGTCATCAATTGTCCACACGTGGACTCTTGGCTCATATGCTTAGTTCACGGTGTTCAAGTTTTGTGAGAAATGAGAATTAAGAGAATTCTTAATTCTCTTAATTTGGAAATCCATGGAAGCACTTAATGAAAACTCAACATTTTCTTTAAAAATCACCATGCCTTTTGAGTAAACATGTAGAGACTGATGTAGGGCAGAGTTCAAGCCTTGATGTGCTGTCCAAATCCCTCTGTGCACATTGAAGAGAACAAACACTGTAAAAGACAATCTTCACTCTTATTTAAGTCGTTTAAAGAGTGCTCAGCTCATCGCTTGCAGACTACTCCCAACTTGTAAAGTTTCAATGTTGACTGGGCATGATTGTGAAGTTATTGCCAATACTAGAATCTCACAACAACAATGACAAAATTCCCAAATGTTTCCAAGTGGGAACTAGAAAAATTGCACAACATACGTGTCAAAGGTAGCTACCGTGGCATGACCAGTCCTCTGACCTCAGCAAACTGCTTGGTTGGCTCTGGCTTTTGCTAGTGAATGACCTCAGACCAAAAGGCACAAGCTGCACTGTCAACCAACGAGCTGGGAACCAGCGGAAGACTCATTTCACCAGCCAAGGGAAAGCTGGGGATCTGCACACAGCAGCCTGCCCCAGAAGATTCCTGGTGGGGAGTCCCAAGTGACAGGGGCAGACGCCAAGTTTACTAGGAAGACAAAATCTCAGGGAAGGCCTAGCTAATCCTAGTAGAAGTTTGAGCAGTTTCACACCCCGGCTTTTGGGTCATGAGGAAGGGAAGCAGCATGAGGTTCAGGTCAGGCACCTAGAAGGTGGACCTGAGCTGTGTGGCCAGAGGCATGGTGCTGATCAGCTCATCCTGATCAAATCGGCAATGCTTCTCTCACGGTGCCAAGGTTCTCTCTTTGGGAATCCAACCTCATGTGTGGAAGCATCGGTGTGGGCTGAGTGGTCCTGATGCTGAACGGAGCACTAATGATGACGGTGTTTTGCTTCTGGGCAGGATGTGGGGTCTTCACTTGATCATCTGTGTCTCCTCATCTGCATCATAGAACTCTTCCTCCTCGTCATCGCTCTCACTCCCCAAGGCGCTGGCCTTGTCTAGGAGCTGAAATGGCAAAGAAGATCTTGTAGAGGCCATTACATGATGTCATGAAGGCCTGAATGAGATACCCAGACACTCATAGGACAATTTTGCTGTTGTTTTGAGACCAAGTTAGCCTCCAATTTGCTATGCCACTGAAATTAACTTCTGATTTTCCTGCCTCCACCTCCCAAGTGCTAGGTTTACAGGGGTGCACCGCCACTCCCAGTTTTAGGTGGTTCTGGGGCTCAAATCTCAGGGTACCCGGATGGCTACAGCAAGTGACTCTATACCTGTGGAGGATCCAGGGTCTGTAGAGACAAGGCTTCCTCCCCTAGCATCTTATATGAGTACATTTGAAGGTCAGAAAATGTCTCCAACAAAGGGCTGTTCAGAGTCTCTGGCAATAGCAGGCTTAGGAGGCCTGAGGTCAGGCCGGTGGCTCCAAACACGATGAAGGGCAGAGACCACTGCACGTCCTTCTGTGGAGACAGAAAGTGGAAAGAAAACAAACAAACCTATCAGTTTCTTAGCAGGGGACATCAGCAGTCTTGTGACCAAGAACTGCTGGGTTTACTGTCTAATCAGCACCTTCCCACAAGAACACCACACGCTTTGTTTTCTTTGCTCTGAGGCAACTATCAGGGAAGTCACAGAATGTTTCCTCAGGTACACAGGGATGGGTCTAAGTGAGCCAAAGGGCTGCGTTAGACTGTGGACTAGAAGCCTTGGACCAGCCATGTCAAGCAAGGCACAGCCATGGCTATCTGTGAGCACGGCAGGCCCACATAGGCACAGTTCACAAGGAACTCTGGAGTCCAGCTTTCATCCAAGAGAAAAGTCTGCTACACATTGATCTTTACATTCTCTTCATACGGAGAAGACCCTGGACTATTTGCTGATAATAAACTTTGTAGTTGTCAAATGTGTTATAACATCATTGCCGAGAGATCCAAGATTAAAGAAATAGAAACTGAAAGAAAAAAGTCCCACAGCACACAGAACTGTAAACTATTTGAGTCGACTCTGGCACTACCAGCAATTGCTTCAGCGATTCAAAAGGTATTCTTAGAGAAAGCCAGTGTTTTCTTTCAGTGCATGGACCTCCAACCACAGTAGGCTAATTCTACCTTTTAGGGTATTTTTCTCAAGATTCTTTAAGAAAATCCCCCAAAGGCAGGGTCAAAACCACAGTATAAGTAATATCTTAAAGATATTTCCTTATGTAATAACACATTGTGATATAATACTTAAAAACAGTTCAGGATCTTTAATTATATGTGTCTATGTGCACAGGTGTGCTGGTGCGCATGTCAGTGCTGGATCCCCTGAAGGTATAGGTCATGAGCTGCCTGCTGGGGGTACAGGAATCAAATCAGGGTCCTCTGCAACAACAGATGTGCCCCAAACCATTTAGCCATCTCTCCAGTCTTTTTTTTTTTTTTTTTTTTTTTAATAAACATTTTAGGGGTCAGGGTCTTTGTTAGTGGACATGGGGAAACGCCCTGGACGCTTAGATCTCGATTTAGCAGGAAAAGCTATCTGCAGCGCCAAGGGCATTGAATAACAAAGGGGCCTTCTGACCCTCAGAAGACATACGCTGCACGATGCAGCCATGGTGCTCCTGGTTACCACATGTCTGACTCTAAGACAGCTCAAGGCTCCATGACTGATCTCAGGACTGTCTAGCAGTGAAGACGTTTATTGTCCCAGGGTAAAGGCAGTCTGTTTTTTTTTTTTTTTTTTTTTTTTTAAGTCTTTATCGGGAAAGCCGGGCTCTGTAGCCACTGGTCAGTTTCAAAAACAGGGTCTGGGCTATCTGTAGGACTGTTTATATCTGGTAAAATCAAGATCTGCGGGGCCCCCAGGGCTTTCACAGGACTTGAGCATTTTAAGGCCTGGAGGATTTTAAAATGGTCACTTGTTTCCCCTGATCCCCACCCTTGTTTTGGATAATGGAACTTAAAAAATGCCAGAGAAGACAGGGCATGTGGGGTCTAGGTGTGTTTCTCCTTCAGTTTCTTTCCCAGTGACGAGCAAATAGTCAACCTGCTTCTAAAGCACCTCCTGTCTTTAGAACTGGTGACAATGCCTACCTCTTACAGCCCTTAGCATAGACCCCAGCATACCACAGAAGCCCATACATATTCATTGGCTTCGGGATGTTGATGGGAAGAGGCGTGCTGGTACTACCAGACCCTCCAATGAGTCCAGATGAACAAAAGGTCAGACCCACCAAAGGCAAATGTCCCAGTCCATCCACCCTGACATCGTACTGGACTTTTTGTCAGAAAGGCACAAGATTCACATTTGTGCAGCTCCTCCTGGTTGAACCTGTTCATTATCTCTTTCTACACAAAAGCACAAGTGAGTTGCAAAGCAGAGAACCAAGAGGAACAGAACCAGGAGGTACAAACCAACCAGTGAGGGGATGAAGGGAGCAATGATCCCACCAACTCGGGAGAACATGGAACATGTTCCAAGGCCAACATTTCTGGAAGGCACAAGAAAACAACAAATTAATTAATTAATTAATTAAAACCACTACATTTCAGGGGGACAATTTAAAGAGTTGGAAGAATACAATGAGCCCAAATAACATAATCCTAAGTAGAAGGTACTGTGCTGCCTACTAGACCTTTCTGTGGGGCTGAAGAGTTCTGCCCACTTCATAGGCATATGAGTCTTTCAGGACTTGAAATGTGACTCTTGAAGAGAAGGAAATGACTTTTATTTTAAAAACAAGTCTTGCTATGGTGACCCTGGCTGGTTTTGAACTGTTGCAGTCCTCTTACCTCTGCCCCTAAGCTCTTGGAACTGAAGATATGAGCCACCACACTTAGCAGAAACTAATTTTAAAAAAGCTTTAGTTATGTTCACATGTATGAATGTTTTGACAGTACATATGTATCCATGCCTCGTCCTTTGGCAGCTAGAAGAAGATGTTGGAACCCCTGGGACAGGATTTATAGTTGTGGGCTGCCATGTGGGTGATGGGGATTGGACCTGGGTCAGCTGCAAGAGCAGACAGTGTTCTTTAACCACAGACTTAGCTCTGGTGTCTGTAATTTAAATTAAGTTAAATAATCACATGAGGCTAATAGCAGCCATATTAGACAGAAGATGACACAGAACGAGCATCTGAGTATTTCTCATGGCAAATAATGAACATTAGCTCATCTATTAGTTAAGATATCCAGAGAACCAGAGCTTTGTGATTCAAAAACTTTGCCCATTTCTTAAAAAAAAAAAAAAAAAAAAAACAACAACAACAACAACAACAACAAAAAAAAAAACTTCAGCTAACTATTGAAAGCCAAGTATATAAACGGGAAATAATGTGTGCACATTGCCAGATAACCCAGGACGGCATGAATAGTTTAGGCAGAAAAGGCAGAGAGGAATAGAGAGAATGGTACTGTTTCCGGATAGGATGGCCACCCAGTTCTGTCAGCAGTCTTGTTAGCATGAAAATGTCTGTGTGGTTGGCCGCGCACCCAAGTTATAGAAACAATCAGGTTGCAGAAACAATCAAGGAGGAACAGGCAACTGCAGACCGAGCTGTTTCTGGGAAGAGATTTTAAATCATCAGGTGGGAAGCACCCCTAGGCCTCTTGCTTGAGGAAAGGGAGGGGTTCTTTCAAATGATCCTTAAGGGGACTTGTCAAAGGGCTGGCACAGGGAGGACCAGCCCAGGGCCCAGGGAGCAGAGCTGAGGCTACGGCCCCACCTTAAATGTGGGTTTGCTCTTATTTTTATGAAGGGATGTTAGGATGAAAGATGCTCTTTCTTATATAAGTGAGCACTCACTACCCATCTGAAACAATGGACCCTCTGAAACTGCAAGCAAGCCCCAAGTAAATGTTTTCTTTTTAAAGAGTTGCCTTAGTCACGGTGTCTCCCGCAGCAATAGAGCAGTGAGACAATGGGTGATTAAATGCTCTTAGGATTGACATACACCCGCCCGAGTAAAGGTAGGGAAGGTGGTCTCTGCCCACAAAAGCACAGTCGACAAAGCCTGGGCGGCATGGATGGGGCGCAGCAGCATGAGAGCCGTACCTGATGACAGTGGGGTACAGCTCAGAGGTATAGATGTAGACGATGTTGAAGGCAGCACTGATCGTCAGCTTCCCCAGCAGGGACAAGGAGTGGCTGTTGACCACTGCAAACATGCCTGTGTCTGAGGAGAGACAACACTTGTGAAGTCCACAGCTGAGCACTGTCAGCACGTGGGGTTTTGTGGGACATCCAAAACCTCAAATACTTAAACAGTCCATTCAACTGCAGGATACTCTTATGAAATTTCAGAAAGAAGATATGACACTGTTCTGTAGAGAAGAAAAGGTGAAAAAATTTGGAAAAAAAACTTCTAATTTGTTTTTTCTTCTCAGTTTCTTGCTTGGATTATTAATTGGTATTTAGATTTGAACTTCTTAAATGTATTTACATAAAATGCAAAGCTATTTCAATTTCACATCCTTACTAAAATACTATTGATTACCCTGTGATTCTTTTCTGTATTAACTGGGATTCTATAGCAGTTGCCTGTCAAACACACTGAATGTCTCCCCTTCAAAAACCCACACACCCCCACCTTCAAAACAGCAATTTTCTCCTCATAAGAAGAAAACAATTCTCCCATGCTCTGCGTCCTCCTGTCACCATCAAACTTGCCACTGCACTTCCTCCCTAACTCCCAGCATTCCAGTCTGCTGCTTTCTTCTCCCAAAGTCATACTCGTGAAAGCCAGCACCACTGTCCTAATCACCAACGTAACTGCCTCTCTTTTCTTGACATTTCTGCTACATAGAAGACCGTGTCCCTTCCTAGGGACTCTGTGGCTCACAGGAGCCTTTCTTCCCATCATATCTCCTGTGTCTGCCTGCCTCTACTTTCCAGTCCCTAGACAGGCACGCCTCAGGCCCTCTCCTGTCACTACTCACTTTTCATCTTGTTTGCCAAAATGTGTTTCAAGGTATTTCATGCTAAGTTTGGTGTCTTATTTAGAGCAGTCTGACTCGCAGAATTCCCTGTAGGACAGTTTCGCACTAAGTATTTGCTGAGCTAAGAGGCCCTGGGACTCCAACTGGCATGAATGTGGCAGGAAGAATTTGCGTTCATGCTGCCTCAGCTGCCAACAAGGAGGGCACACCACATGCCTTATCCAAAATCATGACCCCCTCCTCCTTGACTGTGGGACTCGGCTTCATCTACTTTAACGTGGTGTCTCAAGACCTTGAGCAGGCATCTTAAACATGTCACGTCGGGCTACAGTCAATGCTGCCAAGACATTTTGGGATGACCTTGGCTAGCATAAGCAGTATATATTGAAGCTACAAGGACTCTCTCTAGAAAGACAACCCATGCCTCTCAGCATTTGCTCCAAGGTATGTTTCTAGGACTCTGATCTCACTTCCTCTAGTAACAATTTCATTAGATTATTTACTTCCCCATTTAAGCCAATAAAGGGACTACATTCCCACTATTTTCTAGAAAACTAAATCAGGAAAAGGTATTGAGTAGCACTGACAAAAACAAAAATACGTAACTATTTGTGTAAACTGAACTCTCTCACAAACAAGTGAACAAAAACCACATGCTAAAGGCGCTCCTCATAGGGACCAGCTGGTTGCAACTTTGTAATTGTGGAGCATTAGGACGGTCAGGCTCTCTCTAGCACCCTCACTCCCCACCCCTGTGTTTCAGCTAATATCTTTGACTATAAAGGAAAGCCTTTGAGATGTACTCTGGCGTACCCTGTCTTCCACCAACTCTAAGGATAAGAATGTCACCAGAGAGTACCGGAAATCCGTAAGAATTGTTATTGATTGGCTCACTTTGCTGTAATCATCTGCCTGGGGTTTGCACAAACATAACTGGTAGGCACATTATTACTTCTTCTTTTCCCAGTGACTACCACAAGTCCATGACTGCTTCCTTAGTATTGTCCTGGGCACCTTGAATATAAATAGGTTCCTGGACCATGGTCCTTCATGTTTGATTCAAGAATAAAATATCTCTTATTTCTCTTGAGGTGTGTTGACTTTTTACTGCAAATGGCTTTTGGTAGAGATGGGCTTCCCTCATACCCTGGGCCATGCACTCCTCAAAGCCATCCGGAGGCACCCTACATTTTTACTAACAGGACAGGAGGTTGCTACCTGGGAATTTAAATTCACATGGATGTAAACTATTATTTACACCCCACCCACAGGGCCCAAAGCTGCAGGAGGATTTCCTTGTGAGGTGGAAGACTCCTCCAGCCTTAGTTCATCTGGGGAGGCTGCTCTGGCCACAGGTCAAAAACACCCCATCTGCTGCTTGTACCTTCTCCCCTCTGCTCCTGCCAACACACCTGCAGTCAACTATTCAGGGGAACCGCTTCTCCCCCAAGATGGCTTATGTCAACAGCAGACCGCTTTCTCTGTTAGGATTCCTGCTTGTGCGGCTGCCGGGCTCTGCAGCCACTGACCTACAATTCCCAGTCATTCCCAGTGAGTGGTCAAAATGTTGATTGGAAAGGAAAAAAAGTGATCTAAAGAGGAAGTTAAAATGGAATTGTGGTTTTTAAAAAGTGGATTTGCATAATACTTGTGTCTTCCCACACATGGAACACCTCGAGGTCATACTTTAGCTCCAACAATGCAACTTTGAAGGACTATGTTTTCAGGCCCTTTGGAGCCATCAGAATAAACGTCTCTTTTGTCCATTTATTATTGAGTTGTAAGATCCCATTCTCTAATTTTTATTCACTCTTTCTTCATGTATATATTCTATGAATAGATTCATGTTCCCTCTGTTACTCAGGTTGGCCCTGAACTCCTGCCTCAAGAATAGTCAGTTGCTTCCAAATAGCAAAACTTCATCTCAGTCATTCTCTACTGTCACTGGGTGAAGATAAGCAAATTTGTTTTAGTTTGCTGTGTTCTGAGACAGACAGGGTTACAGGTATGCCAGACTGTCCCTGAATTTGCCTGTAGCCAAGGGCAACTCCCCCTCCTCCCAAGCTCGGGGATTCCAGGTGAACCAATACAACCCAGCTCTCCACAGGCAGATTTTTGGTTGTTCGTGTTTACAAACAGTGAGATAGCTACATGCCTTGTAGTGTAATAGAACCTTTTACCTTTGCCTTTTCTGGTATTGAACACTGAACCCAGGGTCTTAGGAATGCACTCTGTCACAAAGTCACACACCAACCCCAGTTGTTTTTAGTTGCATTTATTTGTGTGTGTGTGTGTGTGTGTGTGTGTGTGTGTGTGTGTGTGTGTGT